TCCACCCTCTCCAACGGTCAATTCGGATGCAGGGCCGTTCGACTCTGTGAAGAAGTTGACTCATGACCAAGTAAAAAGGGGATGGCGGGAGGCTTTCAGTACGACCGAGCAGAAGCCGTACTATTACAACATTTTCACCCGTGAAAGCGTGTGGTCCATTCCTACCGGCTACCCAAAGCAGGAAGAAGAGAGTCAAGTACACTATCGGCCGGAGCCTGACGTGCTAACGGCTGCTATGGCAGAATTGAGCGGTCATCCACCCTTGAAACTCGCCCAGCCTCCCTTCGTGAAGGGAAAGTCTGCAGCGAAGAGAAAACTGTCGCCAGATGGCAATGAAGAAGGCACCGCCAGCAAGAGGAGGTGTTTCGCCCCAGACCCTAACCAGGAGGAAAATGACAGCAACGCCGTCAGGTTCCACATTGGAGGTGAGCGTTATGCTTTTGTCAAGCGTTTCAAGGACCGTGTTTACGTTAACATCAGAGAATACTACTACAACGAAAACAAGACTAAGCTGTTGGCCGGAAAAAAGGGGTTGAATTTGTCGGCCGAAGAATGGAAGAATCTGCACGCCCAGGGCGCAGATGTCACCGAGGCTGTGGCAAAGCTCACCCAGCAACTTTAACTCAAACCTTAATGTTTTCTACTCTTCGCTGTTTGCAGATGTTTTGGNGATGGAGCGGACTTGAACAACGAACTGAACGCTATGATAGAAAACACTCTGAACGATTGGAGAGCCGTTCCAGAAGATGTTAGCATTTCATTCTACTCACCCTTTTTTGACAAAACATCTGATCTCATACAGTGCATAGTGGACAGCATTTAGATTACAACCGAGAAATGCGTGTTAGTCTTAATTTTGTAGCATAATATTTCATTTATTTTTTTATTGTTTGTATTTTAATTTGGATTTCGTTAATATATGTTTGTTTTTCTGGTTAATTGTTTTTTTTTTTTTTTTAATGTAACGACTACATTAATAACTGAATAACGACTTTTTTGGGGGTTTTGTTTGTTTGTTTGTTGTTTTGTAACGTGATGTGAATTAAATACATGGGAGTGCATAATGTTGTCATCAATAAATTGAGTATTATACTTTGGCAGAAAAAAAAATTGACTGTTTTCTGCGTCATGACTCTGGGCAGTGGTTTTAGGGGAAGGGAAATTAGACACATTAATAAAAGACGACACGGGGTGCCTTAAACCAACCGGGACTCACCAGAACATCCCTTATGTGGTCAACGGGCGATATACATTTTTTGTTTATTTTATTTCTAACAAACCAGCGTACAAGATGATACCATAGAAAGGGCGTCTTAAATTATAAAAAAAACAAAAAAAACAGAGTAAATATTAATTAAGGTACAGTCAAAAATGAAATAAAACAGAAAAAAAAAATTGGTATACTAACTGAATTGAAATAACAAACTTAAACATTAAACGGACAACTCTAATTATTTTAACTAAATTGAAATAACACAAAGTGCATTTATCAGAAAATTGTGTTCAGAAGAGCTAAATACACTAGCCTGACAAAGCTCTGGCTATTTGGCCCGCTAAAAACTGTTTGTCAAATACCGATGTCTCTAATTGGGGAAAGTGTCTTCTGATGAAATCATTGACGAGAACATCGTTATCTCTTTTGTCTGAAGAAAACAAATTTACAATCTTGGTCATTGTTAATCCCCGGCAACGCTGCAGTAGAAAGAAAATGCAGTACTGTCCACATACGGCCGACCAGGGACCTTGCAGAGGACGACGGTTGTGGTAAGTCCGCCGGGTATTCTTCTTGAGAAACGTCTTGATCTCCGGTAACTTCACTGGCTGTCCGTAGGAGTCGAAGTACTCGCCCTCGCCATCTCGTGTGATGTAAATAGCCACCCAGTGTTCACCCGGTAGTGTGGATGGGTCCGTGTTTACAACAAAGGCACTCGGACGAGGGGCGTAACGTTTAGGAAGTTGATCGCAGGCGTAGACTCCTCGGAAGTCACGTTTGGTGAAGCGATCCTTTTTCAAAATGCTGTCGATATGATGCGTGTCCATGATCGATAGTGATAGTCGATTTAGCCGCTGTAATCGAAGATGATGTTGCGAGCCTGGTCAACTTCAATGATGTTATTGAATTCGGCATAGATGATCAGGTTGATCGTTTCCTCCAGTGGTCGGGCAAAGTGAACGTCCAGTCTCAGGTTGCCACGCTTCACCAGATTGAAGTGACCGCCAGCGGACAAGTCCGGACTCAGATCAAACGCAAACAGCGCGTACCCCGCGGCGTAGTCATCACGAGTAATGATGTTGCCGTCGTCCTGGTACATTTTATCTGTCCCAGAGAACAGGGTCTGGTAGGCTCTGATGTAGTTTTTGGCCGGTCCGTCAAATTTAGGTTGGAGTGGGGAATAGGGTATTTGTTCCCCATCGACGTGCACCGTTAAAAAGTTGATATCCATGTGTTGGAAATTGAAGGGATTTTTTCCGTATCGACCATTGAACGCCTCGTTGGTCACGCATCCCACCACTATACGGTTCGGTAGTTGTCCGAGAAACACGTGATCTTGGGTGAGTGTCAAGTTGCCGCGGGGCACGGACACCATCTTGCAAATATTCCGCTTGATGGGGTATTTGGCTGTGCCTTTCTCCAGGGCTTTCATGTGACCGAGCATGACGGCGGAACTCACTTTGACTTTTCGGATAAACAGGGAGGCGTCTAGGATGACCACTTTGTAATTAGGGTTGGGTCCAGAGGCCATGAGGCAGAACGCGTTGCTGCTGCGAATGAGCTTCAGTTTCACGTCCACGCCGTTCAGCATGTGTCTGTCCTGAAAGAAAATATCGCTGTGAATGGGGCCGATCAGGTCCACCACTTTGCTGTTTTTGGTGTACTCATGTCTCCTTTTCAGGCCCTGATTGACGGCATCATCGTCCCCTGCGGGGTCGGCATTGTCCATCTTGCCGGCGGTGTCCTTGTAAAACAATGCAGAAGTAAGTTGGGATATCATGGCATCAGTACCGTAGGTGAGGATGGTCTCCAGCAAGGCGCGGTAGGGGTAAGTAGGTGTGGAGGGTGAGATGAGGCGTTCGTTCAAACTGACGTCAATCTGGCTGAATAGGGACTGTAAGAATAAATTGACGGGGCCCACGTGATCATTCTCTGTTAAATTGGAACCGTCCGCCTTGGTTATTTTGGCTTTGACGTAAAGCTGACTTTGGTTGAGATCCATGTACTCATCTCCTGATCCCGGCACGAAAAACTCGATGGGTCCTCCATCGGAGATGGTAGAAATGGGGTGGAATTCTTCCCACTGTCCCTTGACGATACTGGTCTGAGTGGGTGGTACAGAAAACAAGTCCAGTTCGGATTTGGTGCACTCGCACGAATTATCGTGTAGGAGCGACATGATGAGAATCGGGGAAGCTAAAAGGTGTGCAGAGCTTAGTCGAAGATGTCGTGAGATCTTCTCGCTCTCTTGCGGGACGAGGTACTGGCGTGTCTGCCGTTTGCTTTCCTTTTTATACCGCGCCGCGGGGCTCCCGTAACTCTAGTCTCCACACTGCGAAGGGCCGTGTTTGCCAGGTTGCGCCCGGCGTGGCGGAGTCGGTTTTTAGCTGACGTCTTAATATTTTTGCCTTCTAGCGCATCTTGCGCGATGCCTACACCCGTACGGATCGCTTCCCGACCCAGTGTTTTAGCTCCCTGTTTGAGCAGGGGCATGGCAGAGCGGAACAGTCCACCCAGAATTCCTCCAAGTCCATAGCCTCTCTGATTTCTCGGTCCAGTGAACACAGGGTGACCGCGCCCCACTTGGCTGATGTAATAATCTTCGTAATGCTTGCTACTGCTGGGTAGATAACTGCTCCTCATGGTGTTCAGTTGAAGTAAGACGAGCGCTTCCTTCTAAAGTGAAGTTTCACGATGACTCTCCCGCTCACAAATGGAATGGGCTGTCCTGTACTATCCCTTATATCTATTTCAATCATGTGAACCAACTTGTGTTTCAGGGGCATGTAGTGGGGACTGTCGTAGATTTTGGTCACAGTTTCACCGTACTGACCGTCCACATTTACAATGCGCAGTAAGGGCGCCCGGGTGTCTCCCACGGTGTGGTACTCGACAATATTAGTGTAAATAAAAAGTGAGTAGAATGGCTGCATATCCACCACTCTGGTGCTCTTCGCGGTCCCGACTACGACCGCACCGTCATCAAAGCCGAGCAGGTTTGCCAGACGACCCAGTAGTTTAATTGCCACTCTGTTGTTTGTCTTGATGATGACTTTTTGAATAAACTTATTGTACTTGAATCGGACGAGCCCGCCGTGCTCGATGGGAGGTTCGAAATTCCTCAACAATTCTTCAGATGTCGGGTAATATCCCTCTGGTATGTGGTGAAAGTGAAATCTGGAGTCTTCCGATCCGGCCGAACAAGCCAAAAGATTCCCTTCAATCACGTTCAACCAGCGATGCGGATAGGTCACTTCGGCCAAGGCCACTTCCCAGTCTCCTTCGAAAGAAAGGGGTGTAGGTAAATTCACGTAAAAATGGCTAAGCGTGTTGTTGGGATGTGTGTCCATGGAACTGTTACTAGGGAGCGTGACGTAGAATGAGTCCGCCATGGTGAAGGTTGGCTCGGTACTGTGAGAACCACCACTGACATCTGCAAGTTTTTATAACCTGCGCAGACTCGTCACCCAGCTGTTAAATTTGTCGGGGTAGCCGACCCACTTGACAAAATACTCTGTTTTCCCCCCTTTTTTCCGCTTGCGTAACACTTTCTCCACCTGATACAGATCGTCCGATTTCACGACCCGTTGGAGCTCCTGTTCGTAGAAGGTCCCTTCCAATTCTTCCCCATCATAATCCTTCAACTTGTACACGGGTGGGCGCCGTGGGATTTGCGCGCTGATCGTAAACAGTTCGGTGGTCCAGCTTGGGAGATATCCTTTTCTGAACGGTCTGGTCGCCATACTGATGCGCACCGTGTCTCCCACAGCAAATTTGAAAATGGTTGATTGTACTGAAGGATTGTTGTACAAATTTGTCCATACAGTTTCGGCGTTTTGAATATTTACCGAAGCCGGAGCGGCCTTGATACTTCTGTGATACGCGTTATTGTACGCAGACATCAATTTTGGTAAAACCTTGATGTACGCCCGACTGTTGGTGGCCGTGAAATACTTGTACATTTTTGTCTTGAGCGTCCTGTTGAATCGCTCCACCACACTGGCTTTTGTTTCGTTCTGCGTGGTGAAAAATTTGATGTTTCTTTTCTTGAGAAAGGACTGAAATTGTCGGTTGAGAAACTCAGTTCCTTTGTCGGTCTGCAGCATTTGGGGTTTCCGCCCACTTTTTAAGATTGTCTTGAAACCCGCAATTAGGGCACTGCCGGTCTTAGTTTTGAGCGGGACGACCCAGGCATATTTTGACAAGATGTCGATACACGTCAGGAGATAGTTGTAATTTGCATTAAATCGACTGAGCGACCTCATATCTACCAGATCTGCCTGCCATTGGTGGTCGATACCACCCACCACAACCCTGTTCCGCTGAAACTGTCTACGAATGGGTTTGTGTAGCGTATACGTGGGTTGTTCACTCAGCCAGGTTTTAATTTGTTTCCGGTCGATGTCCACGTTGTCTCTTCGAGCAGCACGGTAAACAGCCTCCACACCACCAAAACCGGCTGGATTTTGGGGATCGTAATACACTCGTTTCAGAAACGTCTCGTTCCGTGCCATCCTGGAAATCTGAGTTCTGGATTATGACTTTACTACGACAGCAGAGACACACGCAGCGCATTTTTTGAGCCAGTTGATGGAAACCGCAGCCCGGTTTCGGCCGACAGCACTCCATGGTGGGCCAGTGTTAAATGATGGTACTGGCGCTGATGATCAGATTAATAAGGAGTCCATTTAGGCTTTAAGCGCGCCGATGTTCTCGTACCGGCTGCTGTTTTTCCTCTCCTCTTTCTGGGTTTAGGAGTTGACTTGAGGTGTGGCGCTTCGGCAAACAAACGAGAAAGGTGGAAAGACTCCTCTTCTTCCGGTTCTTCTCTCAGGTGCACCTTGACCTTAGAAGAATCATCAAAACTACCTTTTCCCTCCAATTTTGGCGGCTCGTCTCCTGCCGGCGCCTTCGGCTCCAGCCTGGTGGGTTGATCATTGTCCTTCTTGGTCTCCAAAGTCATGGTCAGTGGTGCCATTCTTTGTTTGTTTAGGTTGATGTAGCGTTGCAGTGTCTGGTGATAAAGCTTAATTTTATCTTCGTCTGAAATATTTTGCCGCTCTAAGAGATCCCTCATCTCAGCATCCAAGCTATGCACCACGCGTGTCGTTGGCGTTTGTTCCAATCGTCTCGCTGACTGTAATTTTGCCAGCGTTTCTTGAGGCACGAGAATCATTTTCTTGGTGTGCTCCATGTTTATTTAAAAAGTAATCCGCCGAGGGCACTCAGTACTGGAGTGAGTAAAGCTCCGAGGAAACCTCCCTTTTGACGTAAAAGTTTCTTTTTCTTTAGAGCAGGAGTTTTTTTGTTGCTGAGCGCACGCAAGTGACGTTTGTATTTCAGTAATTTCTTCTTTTCCGATGGTTTCAGAGGTACGTTACCATTAAGGACGTTGAGGGCGCACTCACATAAACAGGCTATCAGTTCTTTGTTGGCTCCTTGGATCACTCCCTGTCTCTGCTTGTCGCTCCCCCTGGCCAGCACGTGGAGGTAGGGAGCGTTGTGCTGCAGTCGCCTCGTCATCTTCAAATGATTGATGTCCGTTGCAAACCCTATCATTTATACCTTGGCGACGTAAACAACCGGGTATTCGCCGGGAAAAATGTTGGTTCTGAGTCTCAGGTTTTCTGGAGTGTCGGGTTTTAAATCGACGAAAAGATAACCATAGGGTGCGGCAGTTGCATCTCGATAAGCCTCCATCATGTATTTGGGTTTACTCGGGTACATCTGTCTCGCTAAATGTGTAATCTGCGATGCATCTCTTGGATTCTTAAAAAGGACCATGTAATGAGCGTTTAAACTTATAGTTCGCATTTCTTTTCCCTTGTAAAATAAATTTTGTAAAATGAGAATAACCGACAGGTTTCTGTGATGGCTTCCCTTGGTAAAAAGCTCGGTGACCTTTGCGTTGTTGCCGCTTTCTGACATGAGATCATCGATTACAACCAAGTTTCTTTGACTTCGGTCCAGGGAATGAAGTAGATCATCGGGAAAGCCCTCCACAAATCGAATTTGAGGCACCAGACTAGCCAGATGGTCATAAGCATCTTGATATTCCCCGTAACACCAGATAATATTGTCAAGAGCCGGTTTGATGAGTGTATTTCCATCAGCAAGTATGAGTCGTTTCACAAACTGGGTTTTCCCGCTCCCCGTAGGACCAGCAATGACGGAAGTAAAGGGATGTTTAAGTCTCGCGTCCATCTGAACAAATGAACCCTTTTAAAGTAATGCGGTAGATTTTAAAGGTATCCAATCTTCATTCCCCCCCCTCCCCTTTTTTTTTTATTTTTTATTGCCGCCCCTGTCCCAATGTTGCTTCTATTTTTTTTTTTTTTACATCATTTTATTTTTATTTATTTTTTTTTGATTTAACCTTATTCTATTTTATAATTATTGTTATTATTGTTGTTTCCTAAAGTTTCAAACTACTTAAAGAAAGAAATTTTCTTTTCTTCTTGTTTCGATCATATTTTATTCTTGAAAAAGACTGTCTTTCTTTACGCTGAGGAAAATCAAATCAAATTAAGACTTAAACAGAAACAAGGAGAACTTAGATATTACAAATTAAAATTCAAACAGAAACAACAAGAATTACAAAAAGGCAAAATTCAACG